GTTATATGTTGCTGGAGACTGTGGATTTATTGATGGATTGGGGCATCGTCTGCTGTACAGCAGGTGCTTCTCCCGATCTGTCAGGGTGATGAATGAACTTAGTCGAGAAGCAAAGTGGCCAATCTAGGTTTCCAACTATGGTGATGAAACATGGATCATCGCATACATACCATACCATACCAACTTTATTTATAAAGCACTGTAAAACAACCACAGCTGATACAAAGTGCTGTACATAAAATAGATAAAAACAAATAAAAACTCTTACAGTTTAAAACAAACAAACATACATTGTAAAACTAGATCTCGCTGGAGTTGAAAGCCAAGTAAAATAGATGGGTTTTAAGACGAGCTTTACACAGAGCCACATTGATGTACAGCCATCCTCAGTAAATTAGAATATACATCCCTATCTATTTATTTATTTTGCTCTGATGTAATATTTAAATTTTCAATGTCATGTCTGCATTAGCATAAAGTGGGAAATCATTATAATTAATCTGTTTCACTTGTGATAAGGTTCCTTAAATAAATGAGCTTTTCAATAATATTTGAATTTGTTGAATGAATCTATATAAGAAACCTTATATAGTCGAAGGACGATATAAGGCCACAGACAGCCTCTGGCATGTCTGTGGAATATGCTGGCAATTTATTTTTTGTGCTCTACTTCCCTCAAGTGGCATTCAGGGACATTACACATGTTGACCAGAATCAAATTCTGAAGCTTTACAGGACTGAATCCACTGCTTTGTTTGACTTTTTTTTTTTCTTGCTTTACTCATTTTTAAATATATGCATCTTTTCATAAAAGCTTGTTGATGAATTTGCTTTAGAATTGATCTTTGGTTTCAAGGATAGCTCAAAAGTTGACTCTTACTGTTGACATAATGTTCATTGCATATTTGAAATAACTGTACTGTGTTTTATTAATTAACTTCACTAAAAACTTTGCATCTTTTTCCAGCCTATATTCATTCTAATCAGATCATGGGCTGGGGCGAGAAAGCCATAGAGATCCGCTCCGTTGAGACGGGTCATCTGGACGGCGTGTTCATGCACAAGAGAGCCCAGAGACTTAAATTCCTGTGTGAGCGGAATGATAAGGTAATTACTACATAATGTAAGATCCTCTCAGCCATGTTATTTTTTTCTCACTCTGCATTTTACACATAAGACGATTGATTTCACTGTGACTTCAATACACAGCAATTTCCAGAGAGAGGATTGATTCATAATAGAAAGAAACAAGCATGTTTCCTGTGGTTATACAGACTTAGTAGATGATTTGCATAATTGCCTAGCAAAGATATCAACATTGCTTAAGTTTTTTGACATTTTGTCACATTACAACCTAAAACGTCAGTGTATTTTATTAGTGGAAAAGTTTCAGTTACTGTTAGGTAGCGTAAATGAAGTCAAAATTCAATAGGGTTTTCTGCCTCTACTTATGATGGAAAACTAAAACCACACATCACCCTGAACGCAACATGGCTGCTTCATGTTGTCAGGACAGAGAAGCTTTTAATGATTTGTATCTGTAAACATTTTGATAACTTTGCAAAAACGAAAAAAAAAAAAAAAAAACAGCAAGAAACAACAAACAAGTGGATTACATTGATGCTTTTAAAACATAGATTGGGTTACAAACAAGAAGAACTTAAGCTTCTTGTTTAAATTGTGTTTTCTTTCTCCACCTGTTTTCCAGGTATTCTTTGCGTCGGTGCGTTCAGGAGGTAGTAGCCAGGTGTTCTTTATGACCCTCAACAGAAACTCGATGATGAACTGGTGACCTTCCTCCCTGTCCGCTCTGCCTCGCTCTCCCATTGGCCAGTACTACAACCCCGTTGTTTCTCCTGCGGGCTAATGCACCACAAATGAAACAAACCCAACTGACCCGAATCATCGCGAATGGACTTCTCTTTTTTTCTTTTCTTTGCAAACGCTGAGTAGGAAAAAAAAATAGTTCCAGAGGAGACTAAATATCCTAGATTGATCTGGGTCACGGAGAAGCCATTGTTACTTAACTGACTGGCACTGACTTTCCACATTTCGTCTTTCTTTGTCTTTTCCTTCCCTGTTGTCTCTCTTCATTTTGGACCAGTGGATTTAAGGGTTTACCTCTTTACACCTGCCTCCTTCTACCGATCCTATTTCCCATCATCCGACTGCCTTCACTTCTGTTTTCCTCTCATCCATCTTGCGTGAGCTCATCGACAAAGAGCTCTGAAGGCCTTTGATCAAATCTGAAGATGTCACTATTGGAAAGGCAGCGGCAAGACAAAACTGATGACAAGACTACAAATTTATTTTGTATGTCGGTAATCAAAGCTGACAGCCTGTTTGATTTTCACTTACATCCTCTCTCACTTCCTCTCAGCTCAATCTTTCTGTGCTCTGACCAGACTCCCTTCTTATTTCACGATCGATCCGATTTGTCCCGACGGAGGCATTGGTGCACTTTGCTGTGAAATGGGTTGTAACAATATGCAATATGTTCTCTTTCTCCCTTTAGCATGAAATCACTAGTCCATCCTGCCTTCTTCTGTTTCTTCTTCTTCTCCTCCTCTTCACTCCCGTCCCTCCCTGTACTTTTTAAACTCTGAAGGTGCTGCATCAGATTTACTGTAATCTTAAATGAACAAAAAGGGGTCCGGGTGGGAATCATTCTGTTAGCTTCTGTTGTCATTCTACAGAAGATTTCGGAGTTAGTGGTTCCTTAATGTTAGTGAAAACATACAGTCTCTGTAATCAGGATTGTGTGGGAGTGTGTGTGTGTGTGTGTGTGTGTGGGCTCGTGTCTGTGTCTTTAATTTGATACAAAAGTTTAAATCAAGCCAGAATCGAAGCTAGATGTTAATCTCAATGTCAGGCTGCAATATTTCTATCTTTCACCCAACACGATAAAAAAATAAATAAATAAAAACCTTGAGTTTGTTTACATGCACAGATGTTACATCATTTCATAGTGTAAAGTTTATGAGTTTCTGCATCTGAGCAGTGTGCATTTAAAGAATGCAATATGCAGGTTGATTTTGTTGTTTTTTTTGTTGTTTCTTTTCCTTTTTTTAATAAGGTGTTTGTTGTTGTTTGGTTTTGCTTTTCCTGAGCTCTGCCTCAACAAGATCTGAGCTGCTGTCCCCAACTACTGTGTGCATGTGTAAAGCATTCTCTACTGAACACTGTGGATGATTTGAAATCATGCTCCGCCTCTGGTTGATTCATCTGATTTTTGGCTCCTAGATGTTTGTACAGTGCTGAGCATGATATAAGCGAAACTAAAAAAATGGAAGCCAAAAGAGTAATAAGGATTACTGATCACTTTTTAACTACTGTGTTGTTTTTATTGTTATTATATGTTTGTTTGTTTGTTTACATCCAGTAGGAATTTTTACTTTTTTGGAGGACAGTTTTTATTTTAATGTAACACTTTGCTGAATACCTATTTTGTCTTGACGGACAGCGAAATGCATTAATAAATTTACGTCTAATTGTTTTTTTTGTTTTTTTTGGGAAAGCATTTTTATCCTCAAAATGTCAAGCACATCATAAATATGGTACAGACGTTGATTTTCTTTCTTTATTTTCTTTTTTTATTCACCGATTTCACAAAGTAATGAAGAAAGTTCTGGAGCTGCTGGGGTAACTACAGGATCTTTTGCCATATGTTATATGTCAGAATAAAGTTACTCTTACGCAGGATTTTAAATCATTGTCTTGAATTGAGATTGGTTTTAAGTTTTGCCATCACATTCAGTTTTACTTCAATAGTGCGTTTGGTTTACCCAGATTATTTTTATTTATCTGAAATTGTCCCACATCTAATGTGATCTGCTGTCCCAGAATTTGTGAGTGAAACACACTATGCATACTGAATTTGTCCGCCACTTATATATTTATCATGGGTGTTGGGACTATTTTCACTTTAATAAGTTTAAGAATTATTTAATCACATGGGGGCACACAAATGGCAGAGTGTAAATGATTAAACTTTTAAAAATGAGTATTTTGGATATTAGGTTCACTGAAAGTCTCCAAGAGCTGACCCCCGGACCTGCCTTCGAGTCACTTTACTCTTGCAAACAGCCGTGAATTGTTTTATGGGGTCAACAAAAGAGATAGCAAAATACTTATTCAACCATCATTTTTTTCTTTTAAGTGCATTTTTTCCCCTTCTGAAATCTTTTTTTGTGCTTTGAAGGACTTAAAAAAAAAAAAACTACATTTACACTGTAGCTGTTTTCTGTGCTGCTGTAAGCTGCATTTCGCTGATCTGAGCAGGCCAAGGTTTAGCAATAAAGCGCCCAGCTGCAGACCGTCTTCCCTGGGATGCACATGCTTTGATCGAGCATAAGCGAGCGCATTAACTGTCACCATGCTGAAATCTCTTCTTTCAAAACTCAGAACCGCTGTAGATTTTTAACTGTTCAGTTTGTGTTTTTTTATTATTTTTCAAAAGAGCATTACTAATGTCCTGTTTTGGGAATTGATTTATTTTTTAAAGTAATTATGGACAAGAGAAATAAAAGAGACTACCATAACAGGAGCCCGTTTGCCTGTTTGTGAGCATTTTTGTCTTAATTTTGTGTAAACATGTGTATCAGCGTCGACCCTCAGACTTTGTTCAAGCCTTAGTAATATATTAACAAAATGCCACACACAAATAAGTTTGAGCTTGTTTGCACGTGTACGCGCTCAGAGACGTTTAATGCAAGTGTTAATGTACATTGGGGAAAAAGGTATTACACAAAGTAACTATGCAGTCTGAGGTTTAGTATATTATTATTGAAGTTCTATTTAAAGTTATAACATTTAGAATGTCCTAAAACCAGGGGCTAGAAAAATAATCATATTTCACAAACATACATATTTCTGCATGAGAGAAAACATAAAACTTTCCTTTGGGGATAAAACCTATGTTGGCTGTCAGTGCTCATATGAACCTGGGCGTGTGTGTGTGTGCGTGTGTGTGTGTGTGTGTGTGTTGGTTGGTCGATTAGAGAGTGGACACTGTGTGATCAGGCATGTAGATTTCATTGATCATTACCAGCCTCAAGGGAACACTCGACGCATCATGGAGGCAGGAAAGGTATGAGAATTCTTAGGGAAAAAAACAATTTTCATGCATTTTAGAAATGTATCCAAAAAACGTCCAGGATAATAGTTTTGCTATGAAACATTAACTTGCTTGCTGATGTGGATGTGAACGCAAAACTGTGTTTGGATCGCAGCAACTCACAGGTACGCTGGCTATCGCAGTGTTCACAGCAGCTCTGGGTTCCCTGCAGTACGGATACAGTCTGGGAGTCATCAATGCACCCCAGGAGGTAACATGGACTCACTTTCACCAAGCCGATGAACTGCTTGACTTTTCACACCCTAAAGTATTTGCTCTTAAAGAAAAAAAATGTGTGTTTATTTTCAGTTATGGTGTTGCTTTAAAACTATAACAAAACACTTTAAAAAAAAAGTTTATTTTTTTTTCTTTTAAAAATAAGCAAGTTGGTCTGTAGCAGTTTTGTTTGTTTTTTAATCAAAGGCACAACATGTTTGAGTGTCAAATAACATAATCTGTAATCTGTTCTTCAGGACAGATTACATAAATGCTGCAAACCCATATCAGTCTTCTAAAGCATTTACAATGCAATATTAATATTTCCATGATCTGTATAAGGCCTTGCAAAAACATCTTCACTCATCTAATATTTCACATTACACCACATTTCAACCTTTAATGTATTTTATTGGATTTTTATGTGATTCGCTGACTCAAAGAAAGGCTTTTTAGTAGAGTAGAAGGAAAGCGTGCATTTTATGACACTGCTGCAATCTTGCAAAGACATGGCCTGTCAAGCAGCGCATAATGTAGAGAAGCTACAAATAAGCTTTGGGGGAGCTGCAGAGATCTGTTAAAAGATATAAATTATAAGAGCCAGTACTAAAGAAATACCCCAAGAAGTGAAATGTATAAAATTCATAAAGGTATTTAGTTTTAATGTGATGCAAGATGAAAAACATCATGGGATTTAGACACTTTGCACAATTCATTACATACATTTTAGAATCAACTGACCAAAAATCGTGCTGCAATTTTTTCTTTCTATGCCGTAGGTCATTGAGAAGCACTATGCTCTGTCTTTGGGTGTGTCATACGAGAAGTCAGCACTGCCAGAAAACATCACAGAGGAAGAAAGTTCCCAAAACGAACAAAAGCATCCTTCCGTGGTGATGTACTGGTCACTGTCGGTGGCCATCTTCTCCATTGGCGGGATGGTGTCTTCCTTCCTGGTGGGATTTATCGGAGACTTGAAAGGAAGGTCAGAGATTTCCAAGAGTGGACATCTCATTTTCATGAATGCTGAAACAAAGAAAAGGATAAACATTTCTATTTTCTTTTCTGTCCTGCAGGGTAAAGGGCATGCTGATGATCAACATTCTGGCTATAGCGGCTGGACTGCTGATGGGTCTGTCCAGGATGTGGAAGCCCCACATCATGGTCATCACGGGCCGCGCCATAATGGGCTTCTACTGTGGTAAAGCCACACATCTGGAATCACCTTCACTTCACAACTGAGGCATTTTGCAGCAAAGTTCTGGAATCTGTTAAAATGCATGTTTCAGGTTTAACATCTGGACTGGTGCCGATGTATATCGGAGAAATTGCACCTAAAGCTTACAGAGGAGCTCTGGGAACATTACATCAGTTGGCCATTGTAGTTGGCATCCTCCTCAGCCAGGTAGGTTAAACTCTCACACAAATAAACCAAAACAGGGCACCATTTGTGTTTGAAGAAAACTTTTCAGCATTTAACCTATTGATAACATGTATTTGTATACAGGTAATAGGTTTGGAATTTGTCCTCGGTAACGATGAAATGTGGCACGTGCTGCTTGGTCTGTCTGGAGCTCCTGCGATATTACAGTCCATTTTGTTGCCGCTTTGCCCCGAGAGTCCACGCTACCTTTACATCTTGCTGGGCAAAGAGCAGGAAGCCCGGAAAAGTAAGAACCAACACATGCAAACACAAGCACAATTAATTGTTGTAGTTTGTTTTTTCTCTCGTGTAAATACGAGTTGCATAAAAAAGACAAGAAAAATGTCACCACATTCCCCTCAGTCCTTCAAATGAAGGTTAACAGAGAGCTGCTGGTTGGCCTTGCACAGAAGTGTCAAAGCAGCGTGGCGAGTTTTGCAAAAATCGACGCAACTTGATACCAGCCTTTGTTGAAAAATGCAAAAATGCAGGTCATTGATGAAAATGAGAATTTGTTCTTAAACAACTGACCTGGTAAAACAAATCAATCAATAAATAAAGCAAACATTTTTGCATGAGCAAAGGTCTACTGGGATGTGTTGCAATAGCCAGACAGAAAATAGGTGTTTCAATATTTTGTTTTCAACAAAAATAACTGAAATATTTCACTCACAGTGAAGGAATTGTCATTAGAGAAGAGCAACTTTAATTTAAGCAAAAGATTTCAAGAATGTTGCTTGCTACATTCAAAAAAATTCTCTGAAGGTTCTGGTCCTGAGTGTTTGCACTTCATCCTCAGGTCTGCATCGTCTGAAGGGAGCTTATGATCCTGCTCATGATCTGGAAGAAATGAGGAGGGAGAAGGAAGAAGCAGACAAAGAGCCGAGGGTGTCGATCCGTTCTTTGGTAGGTCTCTCTTTCTCTCTCTCTGCAGAGGTGAATGCTGTCCATACAGTTACACAACTATAAACTTGGTTGATTTAGAGTGCTGGGGAGCCTTCAGGTGGTGTGATATTTTGTTTCACTGGGACATAGATATGCTATGGCATTGTGGCCCATCTTTTTTTTTTGGCCTCTTTTCAAAACAGGAAAAATCAGAAGAGTGTTTTCCTTTTAGTTAAGGTTAAATGTGAGTTGACCTTCCAGAAAGTCCATGAAAATAGGAACTGGTCATAACATTTTGCACTCAGAACAGCAAGTAGAAAACTTTAAACTCCTGAAACTAAGAAAGGACTACGAAAAAAACAAAACTACAAAGTTCATTGTTAGAGAATTGCAACTTCAGCATTCTTCCAGCTTGAGGTTCTGCTACTGTAAAAAAGTTTAGTTTTAAACAAATGAATAAAAAACAAAATTGACCTATACAATAAATATTAATGTACTGGTCGTAAGCTATGTGTTTACTGTTAATTTGTGATTGAACTTTTGCAGTTTCTCAAAGTTGTGCTGTCTTAAATTGCTTTTGTGGACTTTGGGACTGGGCTGGGTTACCAAGCACTCTTCTGAGTTAGCCACTACACTTGCTATTCTCTTCTGGAATTAAACTTTGGATATTTGGAGTTTGACCTGCATTGTCTTGCTAGTTGTTCCGCCCCTGCTTGGGTCAATATAATATGTTATATTAAGATATAAATAATCTGATTATTTTATTAGGGACATCTAATGGTAACTGTATTAGAGCTCCTTTCACCTTCAGTACTGCCTTACTTTTGGGATAAATTCAACAAAATGCTGGAAATTTTCCAGGTATTTTTAGAGGTATTGTGTTATATATTGCAATGCCATTCTAACATGACAACATTGCAAAGATTTTTCGGATTTCTGGGTAGCACCTCCATGATGTGGGTTTACAGTTCTGCCATGTGCTACTATTGCTATTTTATTATATTATATCATGTGCTATTTTTGTCTCTCTCTTCTCTCTTAGATTGTCTCCTCTGTATATAGGGAGCAGCTGTTTGTTGCCCTCATGATGCACCTTTCACAGCAGCTGTCTGGCATTAATGCAGTAAGTGTAAAAGTTTTTATTTTATTTTATTTTACCTAATACCAAAATGTAGTGATTTAATCTGTGTAGAGGTATCAACAAACATGTTTAATAAAGTTGAGAAAACTGCTAAAACGTGACTTTTGTCATATTGGATAATCGCTTCTTTCTTTTTTGCATTCGTCTGTCAGATCTTCTACTACTCTACAGCCATCTTTGCCCAAGCTGGTGTCAGTCAGCCAGTCTATGCCACGATAGGAGTGGGGGTCATCAACACGATCTTTACTTTGGTGTCTGTAAGTAATGCGCTCACTTGTGCAAGGCCAGCGTCACGTGTTGCATGATTTCAGTCTGTCTGTAAGCGTGCTCTGTGTGTCCCAGGTTGCACTGGTCGACAGAGCCGGACGGCGCACTCTGACTCTGGCTGGTCTGGGAGGGATGTGCTGCTGTGCTGTTGCCATGACAGCCGGTCTCAAACTCCAGGTTTGTTCGACCAAGTGGAAGATCTCCAGTCTCAGCTAAAACCGACCGCAGGGGTTCAGGAGACACCGAGGCAAACGGATATACAAGCACAGATTCATCACACACAGTCAAATATTCCAAGTCTTTATTTCTTCTCATTTTGATGAGTATGGCTTACAGATATTGAAACCTCAAGATTTGGCGTATCAAAAAAAAAGTATAGAAAATTTGTCAATCAAAATCCATTCAAGAATTTAATTTGTGCAAGCATGAGGTGAATGGCAAAAATGTACTCTTTTTTCTCTAGAATGACTACGAGTGGATGAGCAACGTCAGCATGGCAGCCATCTTCCTATTTGTGAGCTTCTTTGAGATTGGCCCTGGTCCTATTCCTTGGTTCATAGTGGCTGAACTGTTCAGCCAGGGTCCTCGGCCAGCCGCCATCGCCCTTGCAGGCTGCTGCAACTGGACCAGTAACTTTATCATTGGCATGACCTTCCCATACATACAGGTAAGGAGCCAGATAAAGTATGTGCACTGTGCTGGAAAATGCCACAGACCTAACATTATGTCCCACGATCAAACACTGGCTGCATTTTTAAAATATATATTTTCTGCATTCTTCACCAGGCTTGGATGGGCTGCTATGTGTTCATCCTGTTTGCCGTGTTGCTTCTCTGTTTCACCATATTTATTTATTTGCGGGTTCCTGAGACCAAGGGCAAAACATTTGAGGAGATTGCAGCCGTCTTCCAAAAGAAAAAAAGGATCCCCAAAGACAATGCTGAACTGGAGCAGCTCAAATCGTCCAGCGATGCTTAAGGCAGCAGCAGCTACAGTGACTGCATGGCAGCAGTGCTACCAACTGCTCCACCATTCGTCCCAAAGAGGTCAAAGAGGTCACAACCTCTTGACCTTATTCACACGTTATCGAGTTACAACAACACACTTTAAAGTGTTTTATTAGTAATGCATATGATAGACTGGCTCATATCAGAGCATGATCGTGAAGGGAAAAGACGGATATGATTGGTTTTTTGTTTTTGTTATCAAATTTTTGTGAGACCTACATTTATTTTCAGCCCCCTTGATTATCTCTTTGCTGAATTGTTTGCAATGCAATATTGTGGCCCTTTTTTTGTGAAATGTCTCCAGATCAGTCACATTGGATGACGAGCAACTTTAAAAATCTTTTTTTCCATTATTATCCATTATTAGGTAGCATGAAGCTAACTAAATTTCAGGCTAACTATGAAGTTAGTTCATGCTATGCCTGTGTAATATGTTCTTTGTGATGTTGGTTCTTCACTATTCATTTCTAGGAAACCTCCGAGGCCTTCTCATGACAGTTTAATTTATAGATAGTTATTGATTAACTGACTTTTATTTAGGTTTTTTAAAGTAAACGGGGCTGAATACAAATACAAACAAAACTTTTTTACATGTTCATAGTAGCGCTGTGCGTCGTTTTATTTCCACATCACTGTAAGGCACTACTTTCTGTCACCCCATCTCATAAAATCCCAGTTATGTAAAACTTTGTGTTTGTAATATGAAAAAATATTTTCGAAGAAGTACAGTTTGTTAAGGACATAGTACATTTATTTTTAATAAATCCCTTTCCCGCTCCCTCCACTTTTTTTTTTACACAACACCATCAGTTAAATTTCACAATGTTTACATGTAACCAAATAAAAAATTTTATTACCGTAATGAAAGTAAAAGTTTAGTATTATAAGTATTTTACAATGACAACAAACCAGATACCCACCATATGTGGAAGAACCGTTGTAAAGCTTGTTAAAGCTAAATATCTGTAAACTTAAAATGGAAACAATGCATAGCAACAGTAACATATGCATTAATCAATACATTTGAGTCTTAAAGAAAAAACTACAAAACTGTTGTTGAAGGAGTGAGGACATTGAACAAAAACTGTGCAAGCTCCAATTACAGCATTGTTAGCTTGTGTTGTGTGATCAGCAATAAAGCTTGTCTAAATGAGGGATAATATAAAAAGCATAAAAACTGGAAGACAAAGCCGACAAGTAAATGAATTACAGTGCTCTGTCTAAAATCTCCTGCAAAATTTGACACGATTCTTCCCTGTGTTGAAAATTTTGATAAAACTTCCATTTAGTCACTGGAGTCAAATGCAGTTTACTTGGACAGCTTCAATTTGACATTTAAAAAAATGCATTTATTTCCCCTAAATTGGTGCTTGAGGGTTGTGGTTTTCCAAGGGCAGATTTAGTTTGAATTGAGTTGAAATGTAAATTTTTTGAGTAACATTCCAGAGGTTCTTCTGTCTTTGGGAGCAAAGTTCAGAAGCGTCTCTCAATATTTTAAAGAGACCTACTACCTTCCTACTTGCTAGAAAAGGATAAACCTGACAGAAGATTGCAGCTCAATCTAACAAGGAAGATAATGCACATTTCTGTTTAACGAAAAAAAATAATGTGAAAATGTAAGCTTTCAATATTTCATTTTCTGTATGAAAAAACAATAAAAACATTTCTATGGTACTTCACTAGCTTTACTTTGCAGATTTACTTGTCATTTCCCAGTTTTATAAATGTAATGATACACCCAATAGTAGTAATATGCTTTACACTTTTACTTTTATACTTTGGTTTTTATATTTTTCAAGTGTATATTTCTATTGTTTTGATGAGTATGTAGAATAGAATAGAAGAATAGAATATAATAGAATAGCATTTATTGTCATTGAACACGATTCAACGAAATTTCTATTGCAACTCTCGTGCAAAAAAACCCAGAGTTAAGACTGCTGGAAAATGACATCTGTATCTCTGAAGCACTTTGTGTTTCCCATCGGAAACACAACTTTAAAGTACTTTAAAGTTTGCTGGTCGATATCTAGGCTGACTTTGGACTTGATAAAACACAGTAAACCAATGTTAAAAGACTGAAATTGTGTGGTTTGTGTGATTCCCTTCTCTTCTTCCAGAATTTGAAAAATGCACCTTTATCTGAAAAGCGGGATGCTCCTGATGCTGTGAAGGTTGCAGCTTATGAGTTAGTTACACCTCTATGTAGCTCTTAAAACTCACTCACATAATAAAGCTCCCCCAAAGTCTTCATTGGGCTTTGGCTCACATTACCTGTTGCCTGTGCACCTTTTTTTTAACCACATGTTTTCCTTCCACTTAACTTTCAATGAATTTGCTTGGATAGATCTTTAGAAATCACCTAAGCCTCATTATGGAAGCTGACCAGAAGATGCCTACACCGTAACGTCTCCGTATCAAAAATCCATTTTTATTGAACCTATTTAATATTTAAAATTTCTAGAAAAATTTCTATCAATGCTGGTAACTAGACCCTAATAAAAACGAGCTGTTTGCCTATGTGTAAACAAACAGTTCATTAGAAATTTACGATGCTTCAGCAAAGCCACACGCTCAGTCAGGGAGGAGCGCTGGCTCCACCACCTCGGCGCCGCCCGGTGTTCACCGCCCACCCTCATCACTCCTCCTGCTGCCGAAACTCCACGCATATGCGACGTGATTCTCATCTTTTATTGTGAGCGACACAGAAGGTAGGCTAAGCGTGACATGTTTTGACAGCAGCTGCACATTAAGCAGCTGTCCATTAATGATGGACGGTGGTCTGGCACAGCTTTGTCTAGTATTTGGTGGGAGGTGGGCTTCGTGGTCACCCGGCGCTCCAGCAGTGATTTGTGCGGATGAAATGAAAGGCGCTGCTGCAGCTAGCATCTGCAGCCAGGCTGAATGTCCAACCAGTGAGAAAGCTAGCAGCAGTAAATATAGGTGTAATTTGATCATTTGTTTGTACTACTGAGAAAAGACTAATGCAATGGCCATTGATCAATTGAACAGTGACGTGACCACAATAACACGGAGCAATTGGCATGTTGTACAAACGCATGTCTGTAGGCTGTTAGTTTGTGCCCTGAGTGCCCAACACAGTCTTGATTTTCCCTCCTGGTTGGGAGAAATGAAAGCAGAAATTTCCCTTGACTGAAATGTGTTTATAGCATCCTAAAGAGCAGCTTTAAAGTGACGTTCATGCAAGTCTGAACAATCCTGGAGAAGAAAACTGACTTGACAACAATGTAACAAACTGTCACAAAGCTGATAGATAGATCAATTATGAAAAGTTGAGTGGAAGGAAACAAGAGGGCTTGGTGCACATTGATAGGAGTTTTGAAGCAAGTCCCATTCCAGATTTGTTGGGGGAGATTTTCAAGGTAGGATGCAGCAAGAGTTGGGGCACCATTTGAAAAAAAAAAAAAAAGTCAAATGATTAAGATTATGTGGCTTGCATGATTCATACAAGAAACCTTTGTGTTGAAACAATATCAATTTGAAAAGGTGAAACAAACAGACAGCAAAATAAATCTGCCATTCATCAAAGAAAAAAAATAAAAATAAATTGTTAGAGACATTGCAGTTCACTTCCAACGGTGTTGGAAAAAGAAGCAGAGGGCAGGGGGAAATATTATTAATTGCAAAAAGAAGATCAATTTATCACAATTCTGTGATTTCCTGATTAAAGGCAGCCCCAGTAGAGATCTGATTTTAATCAATCAGTTTCCATGTGTTCCTTCATGTTGCTTTTATTAATTTTCCTGTGTTTAATACAGTCATATCCACATCTACTGAAATAGAAGTTGTTACTGACATATTTTGTGGATTTCTAATGTTGCATAGCTTTCTATATTTGTGAAATATTCATAAAGACAAGCTTTTTTCCTTGCAGTTAGACGTAAAGAAAGTCACTAACTTCTTTTCCTTGGTGCGTAGAGCAGCCCCTGGTCCACTATGGCAGACGATGACTTCTCCACCGCAGATGCTGGTGCCTCAGCTACATTCCCCATTCAGTGCTCTGCACTGAGGAAGAATGGCTTTGTCATGCTGAAAGGACGTCCCTGTAAAATAGTTGAGATGTCTACCTCCAAGACTGGAAAGCATGGGCATGCCAAGGTAATATCTTTCTCCTCCATTGGCTTCAGAGTGAAAGGAATTTTTATTTATTTATTTATTCTTTTTTTTTTTTATCCTTGTTTGTTCTCAGAATTTATTCCAAGACCCATGTCTATTTCTTTAAAGTTTTTTCTGGAAGTCATGTTTTAGTAAAAGTGAGTTTTACTCTTAGGTGCATCTTACTGGAATCGACATTTTTACTGCGAAGAAGTATGAAGATATCTGTCCCTCCACACATAACATGGATGTCCCAAATGTGATAAGAAAGGATTATCAGGTGAGATAACCCATTTGGAGAAGGTTATGGTATTTATGAAATGTTTGTACGACCTAGAAGTAGTTGTATCCGTCGAAGCGACATTAAATTCCAGTACCTGTTCTTCCCATATATCGACCAGTTTTATTTTATTTGCTCTCTCTGTTTCCTTGGATGCTTTGCCTGGCGGCACATTTTAGGTACTCGATATCATCGACGGCTTCCTGACCCTGATGGAAGACAACGGAGAGACCAGAGAGGATCTCAGGCTGCCAGACGGTGACATGGGCAAAGAAATTGTGAAAAAACTAGAGAGTGGAGATCAGTTTCTGGTAAATTTTTTTTTTTTTTCACACAAAGTCATAGCTAATGAGGATCTGCAACATATGCAATGCCAGTCATAGGTTAACATGCACTCATTATCAGAATGAATGTCGCATTAGCACTGAGCCTTTATTGAATGGTTCTGCAGAACTGAAATTAAATCTCAAACTTACTCAAAATGTGTGGACTAGATACAAACATCCGCCTCCATCATTAAAGGACATTCATGCGAAAGATGTCGGTAGGTACATTTCTAAATGACTCTGTAAAATATGCTACTTGAGTAATAAGGTGATTCTCAGTTGTCAGAAAAGCCACAGTGAAGTGAAATTTTCTCCTTAAAGTTATTATTTGTGTTTTTTATCAGGTGACTGTGTGGAGAGCTGTGGCTGACGAATCTGTAGTTGGCATTAAGAACATGACTCCTATTTAGACCATGGCAACAGTGGAGACCTCAGATTCCTATCTGCCCTCTGTGGTTTTAAAGCTTCACCAAAGCTGCTGGCCTTCACCACTCATCTCAACCTGTGCTCCACTTCGTTCTTCTCCTCTCCTGCTGTAAGCTGAAATTCTAGAAACTGGACTCAGTCAGTTTCAGCTGCACTTCACACTCAGACCAGCCTGTCCATTCATTGCTTTCATAGCACCACTGTGTAGCACATGCCAGGTACTATAAGAGGAGTCTTTGACCATGTTCCACAAAATCATATCATTCAGATAAAGGTGCATTTTGTTTGCACGCCAGCTAGCTAACTTCAGTTTCAATTAAAAAAAACAAAAAAACAATCCCATCAGCTGCATTGCAGCTCCCCTCCAATGAAAATCTGTCTCTGTTTTCACTTTGCATTCACACAGCTCAAGCTTTAGCATCCGTGGGTTTTTACGTAGATCACAAAGTTTCTTTCTTTTTCTCCTCTTGCACTGCAGAGCTGCAGGCAAGTTTTCGACTGCATGTAGCCCGGTCCCAAGGTCAGTGCTGTCCAGCTGACAACTGTGCTGTCTCAGCAGCCCAAACAGGCTGGAGCACACAGGGTGAGGCAGTTTTCTTCCTCTACGCTAAGAAACTTAATGTTTTTGTTTTTTGTCTTCACTTGAGGCCTTCACAAGTTGGCAACTGTAAAGAAATTACTTTGAAGGAAGAAAAAAAAGAAACACAGCAAATCGATGTTAAATATACATATAAACGTTAGCAAATCTTACCTAAAGCAAACTGCATCTGGAGAAGATAAGATCGGAATGTGTAGCAAAAAAAAGGAGGAGTTGACGTTTTTGGATTTGCATGATGCAACCATAGTTAAGGGGAAGCGAAGGAATATAATGTCGCTGCTTGGCGACTTGTGGGAGAGCTGTAGGAAACACTTTAGAGAGTTTGTGTGCAGAGTTTGGACTCTAATATATGACTGCACAGAGACTCTCCTGGATTTGTATAAAAATAATGCTAATCTTTAAAAAAAAAAAATTTAATTAAGGGTGTTGCTGTTAAGGGTGATAAACACTGGACATTTGAGTCTCCTGCTGAACAGTGCTTTAGAGATATTTTAAACTTTTCACATTACAACCTCAAGATTCAATGTTTTTTTCTGTTGTTGTTTTTTTCAAATGGACCAATACAGAGTGGTGTGTGGTTAAAATCTGAAGAGCACAAGGGCAACTTAAAAAGTCACACCATTAAGATTTTTCTTTGCAGAGAATACATAATTTGTGTCGGTCTGTCACATAAAACAACAATAAAATGAAACGCTGAGGTCCGTAGTTGTAACTGGACGAAGTCTTCAAAGAGTACTTTTGCTAGGTGCTGGATCCATTTAGGTGCAAGAGAACCTGCTTTTCCAAGCATGTACTTTCACCCCTACCACCTGATGAAAACACAAAATAAAAATATCTTCTAATTATATTAATAATATCTTGGAAGCAGTGTAGCCTAGGGATTATCTTGAGTTGTTTACAGTGCTCTGAAAGAAGCATAACATGTTTTGAGGGAGTTTGTCTTTATCAATTGCATGTGTTCAGAAGAAACAAATTTCTGCCAGTGAGCTGTGGGAAGGACGCATTTAGATTTAGAGGAAGCTCTTCTGCTGAACGAGAAGGAATAAAAGCAATACTTTAAGGTACTTTTAAAGTTTTCCTCCACAATGATGTTTTTAAATCCTCTTAAAAGTTTAAAGGTAACTGGTTTCTGCAGCAGAATCCCTCAATCCCTTAGAGTGGGTGAGGAAAATGTTTACATGATGCTTAATGACATCAGGTCACTGCTCAAAAGTTGATGGTAAATAGATTTTTTTTTTTATTTGTGTAAAGATGCAGATTGTAATGGAGCATTTGAAGGTTTTCTGTCCAGTTTTTGTACAACAGCAGCTGGTCTGTTACTTTTGTCTAGGCTTCAGGCATCCTAAAGTATTTGATTTTCAGTTTAGTTTATTATTATTAAAACACCAAAATAGTTTGCTATATTTTTTTTATTTGTGATTATTCTATTGCTAAGGAATTGGTAGCTTAAAAAGTGGCTTTTAATTCGAAGCACCAGTTTGATATTTGTGAATAAATCAGAGAAAGTATGTCTATGAGCCCTCATTCTGAACTTTGCAAGATGAATAACTTGTACAAATGTTAATTAAGCACTCTAGCACTTTGCCGTGTCCGGTTTTATTTTATTTATTTATTTTGTGTGTACATGTGCCTGTACAAAAATAAAGTTTTGCCTCTTTAAAAATGTATTACAAATTCCTAATATCGAAGTAACTTCTATCCTCATGGCATCCAAAGAGGAAGTTTCTTTCTCAACACATTAGTTCTCATCTATATATAAGTAAGTCAATTTTTGTTTGTTTTAATTCTTTCATTTAGACAAGCGTCTCCTTAAGCTTCTTCCAAGCAACTAAAATGCCAATCTGGACTTCCAGGAGTTAAGCTAACTTTGTGAATCATCTAGTACACTGCATTAAAAGTTTGTATTTCAGTTGATAACACACAAAGGTGGTATACAACATCCTCTTAAAAAATTGTGACTGTTATTTGTTTAAGCATTTTTTTTAACAACCAAAACTGGAGACACAGGCTTCTGACCACAGATCCATGAGTTGTCACCCTTCTCACTTTTGTTTTATCCTCATCCAGCGTCGATGCTGAATAAAGTAGCAATGGCTAAAGTCCAGTGTTTTGTTCTGTCTTTGGTCCAACTCGGTGTGCATTATTGATTAGAATTGAGGAAATGCAACATAACTAAACATAACGACTGCAGGTTTCCCTCAACCACCTCTTCACAAAGCAGTTCCTACAGAAAAAAACAAAAAAGCTCTTTCTGATCATTCATTCATTCTGATTATCAGGTATTGCTATTCAACTCTAAGGTTCTTGGTGCTTTAATGGAATGTCTTCTGTTTAAAGCACTAAGCGTGTTAGAAAAGCCTGCATGAACATCATGACATAAACTTGCATATGTCTCGGGAATGCTGTGAGTTGCAAATGAAGGCTTTTGGGTAATCACAGTGCATGCTATAAAAGGACATAAAACCTGTAATCCTGACTGATCGAGGATAAAGTAAACTATAATGGCGTCTTCATTGTTTTGTGTTCATTGCAAAACTGTGATCTGAAACGGGCTGAAGAGATGACCAGAAGGAATCAAGAGTGTTTTCTGAACGTGGCTGTTCACTTAGGTAAATGGTTTCATCATTTGGTCACAGTTTTCTGACTGATGTTTGGCTGCTGTCCTGAAAATACTCTCTTTTTATTGTTTGGTCAAATAAAGTCCATTCAGATTTCCCAGTCTTTGCTTCACTGACAAATCATTTAATTTGGTTTTGTTACAAGAGAGTTGTTCTCCATTCATCTCACTTCAACGTAGCTCCACCATCTACTAACAAGATATCTGGCATTTTATAAATCAGATTGAATTTGTCATGTAAAGTCTGGATTCTGACCAGTTTCAGAATGGTTTTCTCGTGCGCAGTTGGAAGGTACTTCTAGCACCGCAACTGCTATGAAGTGAAAAATTCTGCTCCATACTTATAAAATCAATCAGAATGTTGAAGATTAGAGCCAGAGGGAAAAACAAAACTTCTGACTCAAATCTTCTGAAATCAAAAGTCAGAATTTTTTTTTTGTTTCTCTTCTAATTTTCTTTTGTAAAATTAAAAAAAAGAAAAAAAGATGAGCTGTCTGAACTTCTATTACGTTCTCTGAGTTCAACAGTAGATGGCAGTAAAACATCACTTTTCATGTATTTACAATCTATTTGTTTTTAGTGGTGAAAGTGTTTGGCACGTCCTTCACGTGTGAGTAAAGTTTTTTTTTTGTTTTTGTTTTTTATAATTAGACACAATTTTAAACATTTCAGTGCAACTCTCAGTGACACGCAGTTTTATCTGTGCTAAAGGCATGAATTTTATGGAGAAATTTGTCAAAAAGCAGTGATAATATGGCTATAACCTGCCACAAACTCCCTTTTAACTGCACACAAACCAGTGATCCTTCCCGCAGGATGGGCCACGTTGGATTACCTGTGAGGTAACACAGGCTTCTTGGTCATTACAATGGAAATTCCTGCACTTATTCCCGTCAAGAATGTTTTACCAGGATATGCAGAACTCTTTCAAGGCTCACGTGGGAAGTGAAGCCGGGGGATTGCACAGAGGATTGTCCGAGGTATTACAAACCATCCCGCAGAACCCCGAACCTGTTTATGCAGACGCAAAGCTGTTGGATTCCTCTCTGATTTATGGGAGAGATGAACCAGACTGAAATGGGGTCCGCATTTGATAGAGTTTTGTGGCACAAGGCTTGTCCTATAAATCGGTGAAAGAGGTGTTCTACACACATCGGCTGCTTACATCAACAGTGAGGTTGAGTCAGGCATATAGGAAGGGCCCTTCCGTAACGGCGGGATCTGTTTCTCGAAACAGCATGAAAAGGGGAGTCAGAGGAGATCAAAGCCTGCGTGTGAACCGTGCTTTTATTGAAATATGTGGGATTAACCAGACTTGTCTTTCTGCATGCATGAAAGGGAATGCCCATAAAACATGAAAAGATTTCAACTATATATATATATATATATATATATATATATATATATTATATATATATATATATATATATATATATAAATTCCCTTCTCACCCACCGCGGGTGGTTCTTATCCTCTGAGCTCGGGTCCTCTACCAGAGGCCTGGGAGCTTGAGGGTTCTGCGCAGTATCTTGGCTGTGCCAAGGACTGCACATTTCTGGACTGAGATGTCTGATGTTGTTCCTGGGATCTGTTGTAGCCACTGCTCCAGTTTTTGGGTTACTGCCCGAGGGCCCCGATGACCACAGGCACCACTGTGGTCTTCACCTTCCAGGCCCTCTCCAGTTCCTCCCTGAGGCCCTGGTATTTCTCTAGTTTCTCGTGCTCCTTTTTCCTGATGTTGCAATCACTTGGTATTGCTACATCTACCACAACGGCTTTCCTCTGATGTTTATCCACTACGACAATGTCTGGTTGGTTCGCCATTACCATTTTGTCTGTCTGGATCTGGAAGTCCCACAGGATCTTAGCTCTGGCGTTCTCCACCACCTTTGGGGGTGTTTCCCACTTTGATCTTGGGGTTTCCAGTCCATATTCTGCACAGATGTTTCTGTACACTATGCCTGCCACTTGGTTATGTCGCTCCATGTATGCTTTCCCTGCCAGTATCTTGCACCCTGCTGTGATGTGCTGGACTGTCTCAGGGGCCTCCTTGCACAACCTACACCTTGGGTCTTGTCTGGTGTGGTAGATCTGGGCCTCTATTGCTCTGGTGTTTAGGGCCTGTTCCTGGGCTGCCAGGATGAGGGCCTCTGTGCTGTCCTTGAGTCCAGCTTTTTCCAGCCATTGGTAGGATTTACTGATATCAGCCACTTGGGTTATTTGCTGGTGGTACATCCCATGTAGGGGTTTGTCCTCCCATGATGGTATCTCTGGCACCTCAACCTCCGTTCCCTGTTGTCTGAGACATTCACAGAGCACATTGTCTGTTGAGGCTTTGTCCCTGATGTATTTATGGATCTTAGTTGTTTCGTCCTGGACAGTGGTTCTCACACTCACTAGTCCTCTGCCTCCTTCCTTGCGGCTCGTGTACAGTCTCAGGGTGCTGGATTTGGGATGGAACCCTCCATGCATTGTTAGTAGCTTTCTGGTCTTAATATCTGTGGCTTTTATCTCCTCCTTTGGCCAGCTAATTATTCCAGCAGGGTATCTGATTACTGGCAAGGCATAGCTGTTTATCGCACGGATTTTGTTCTTGCCATTGAGCTGGCTCTCAGGACTTGCCTTATTCGTGGAGGTATTTAGCTGTGGCTCTTTTCCTTGTGACCTCATCGAGGTTGCCATTTGCTTGTGGTATACCTAGGTACTTGTAACTGTCCTCTATGTCTGCTATTGTTCCTTCTGGGAGTGAGACCCTTCTGTGTGGATGACCTTCCCCCTCTTTGTGACAGCCGACCACATTTCTCTAGTCCGAATGACATCCCAATGTCGTGCTGTAGATCCTGGTGGTGTGGATCAGTGAGTCGATGTCTCGCTCACACTTGGCGTACAGCTTGATGTCACCATGTAGAGTAGGTGACTGATATTGGCCCCATTTTTGGAGTCTGTATCCGTAGCCAGTCTTGTTGATAACTTGCTGAGGGGTTCAGGCCTATGCAGAACAGTAGCGGGACAGAGCATCTCCTTGGTATATGCCACATTTGATGTACACTTGTGCAAGTGGTTTGCAGTTGGCTTCAAGGGTGGTTTTCCACAGCCTCATCGAGTTTGCAATGAAGGCTCTCAGAGTCCTGTTGATGTTATACATCTCTAAGCATTCATGATCCAAGTATGCGGCATTGAGTCATAGGCTTTCTTGTAATCGATCCAAGCCATGCACAGGTTGGTGTGTCGGGTTTTGGCAGTCTCGGGCAACCTGTGCGGTCTACGAGGAGTTGGTGTTTGGCTCCTCTGCTATTTACACCGATACCCTTCTGTGCCGTGCTCATGTGTTTATCCATGTGTTTGCTTATCTTGGCCCGCCGCTTGATGCCTGACATGAGCTTCCAGGTTGTGGAGAGGCAGGTTATTGGTCGGTAGTTGGGTGGGACTGGACCCTTTGATGGATCCTTCTGGATTAGGATTGTCCGCCCTTCAGTTAACCATTCAGGGTGAGTCCCACTTTGTAGCAGCTGGTTCATTTGGGCTGCCATTCGCTCATGGAGAGCAGTGAGTTTCTTTAGCCAGTAGGCATGGATCATGTCAGGCCCTGGTGCTGTCCAGTTTTTCATACCTGAGACTCTTTCTTGGACATCTGTCACAGTGATGGTTACCGGGGCTTGCTCAGGGAGGTTGCTGTGGTCCTCTCGTAGAGAGATCAGCCACTGTGCATTGCTGTTGTGGGACGCCTCCCTTTCCCATATGCCTTTCCAGTATTGTTCCGTCTCCAGCCTTGGTGGGTCTGCTCTGTTGTTATTGTTACCCTGCCATTGAGAGTACACCTTAGCTGGTTGAGTGGAGAAGAGCCGGTTAATCCTTCTGGATTCATTCTCCCTTGTGTATCTCTTTAGGCGGCTGGACAAGGCTTGGAGCCTCTGTTTGGCAGTCTCGAGTGCTTCAGGTACAGGCATCTGCCTGTACTTTCTGGGTAACTGGTCTTTTCATTGCCCTTGTGGAGCTCTGACAGTTGGCTCACTTCCCTCCTTGTTACCTTGATTTTAGCCTCTAACCGTCTTTTCCATGGTGGGTATTGGGTCTCATGGTTGCTCTTATAGCCAAGTATCTCAAGGATCACTGATGCTGAGTTGTAGATCAGCTCATTGGTTTCTGTTATGGTGTTGGTAGGGATCGTTCTCAATGCTGCATTCACATTCTCAATGAGACTTTCAGATGGTACTTCACTCAGCCGTTGTAATTGGCGCGGGGAGGCCTGGTTGTCATTTGGGTCATGATCTCTCTCTCAGGTCAGCAGCTGTCTCGTCAGCTCTGTTTCGCTCATTGGGGCGTGTATCCCCTCACTGGGTGGGGACTTGTAGTTAAGTCCCCACAGTCCTGACATCCGGGTTCCTCCCTTTTGCCGTAGCATTTGTGTTGTATCTCGTCAATCTCAAGTTGTGATAGCAGTTGCCGTTTGCGGATGGTGGAACACTGAGCTACTAGTTGTTTAGCGCTTAGTGTTGACTGGGGATGTCGAAGTAACCATTCCTTCCCCAGTCTTTGCATGTAACCTCTCTCACTAGGTTACTTGAGTAGTAGCATTCCAACAGATCCACATTTTCATCTCTCGCCCATTTCCGTCTTGTTCCAGTAGCCCATTTGTCATCAAGGTGCTCTGGTTCCCCAACACCTGACGCAGACCTTGTTTGGCCGGGCGACGTCTGAGCCGGCATGTTATGCAACTTAGTATCTCTCATGGTATGAGGTAGGCAGTAGCTTGAAGGGTCTTGCCTAAGGACCCAGACTGGATTCGAACCCTGCCCTCTCGGGTGATATACTGATGCCTTATGTATTGAGCTATCCAGTCAGCTATCCAGTATATATATATATATATTATATATATATATATATATATATATATATATATATATATATATATGTTTTCTTTCACTCTGCTATCGGATCCAAAAGGATCCAGATTTTCTTGTGGAATGAAATCAAATCCAGTGGAAACCCTGTCATCTTTGACGGC